TCATGTGTTAAAGTTTTAGACGGTTCGATCCAATACCCTTAAAAAAAGTGTCTTATTCAAATCGACTGATTTGAGGAGGGCTTCACTTCGCCTTAACATTGTTCGACACTTTCAGTTTGGTAATTTCTGGTATCGACCTTTCCAAACAGATACCTTGCCAGTACAGGTAACCCTCCTACAACACGGTTTCGCTCTAACAAGCTAGGATAAATTGCGGGAACCGTCGTATTGCACTGCACCCTATAACACAGTTTCGCTCTAACACGATAAGAAAATTGCGAAAACCTTTGTACAACACTGTACTCCCACAGCACTGGATAACATGATTTTTGTTTAACATATTTAAAGACTAAATTACCTTAAAATAATGACGGGAAGGAATAATAAACTATAGTGCATTTACATCGAACATTTTTTTTTGTTTTTTTTTTTTCGTTCTGTGTTATACATACATTTATATTTTTAATAACTAAATTATCTTAAAATAATGACGGGAAGGAATAATAAACTATAGTGCCTCTACATGAGAATAATATTTCTTCCTTTTTTTTCCGTTTTGTGTTATANTTAAAAAAAAAAAAGTTTGTTTTTAATAGGTTTTCGGAACGTAATCCCCCTTATTGTCCTGGCTTTGAGTCTCATATAACACGGTTTCACCCAATACGGCATTTTCTAGGAACCTATCTACCGCGTTATAGGAGGGTTACCTGTATTCATATTAGATTATACAGTTAATTCACAACTTTCTACTGATACAAAATTGTATTAACATTGATACTTTTAGTATGGTACTTCACTGGAATCGTCTTATAGTTTTAACATCGATCGACACTTTTCGTTTGATGGTTTCTAGTGGATCCTTCCAAACAGATACTTTCCTTGTATTGACATTAGATTACCCAAGTATTGGGTTGTTCGGAAAGTAATTTCGTTTTTTTTTTTTATGAAAATGAAAGACGATTTTTTTATAGCGAATAAATATTTTATTGAATTATATATTGTCCATTCCGGTCCAATACCTTTTGCCATCTTTCTGGCAGTAGCATGATTCCACGCTCATAAAATGTTTGGTTTTTGCTGTCAAAAAACTGATCCAGGTGATTTTTGACCTCCTCATTTGA